CCAGCTCTGCTCTCAGACTTTTCCCCCAACTCTGCTCTCAGACTTTTCCCCCAACTCTGCTCTCAGACTTTTCTCCCAACTCTGCTCTCAGACTTTTCTCCCAACTCTGCTCTCAGACTTTTCTCCCAACTCTGCTCTCAGACTTTTCCCCAACCCTGCTCTCAGCCGGGCCGAAAATCTGCCTGAATATTTACAGCCTCGAGTTCAAGTCTCGATTATAATTTTCAAAATTAATAATGACGACTGTTTTTTTTTAAGATATGAATTGGCATTTAGAATGTTTTTATTTGCATTGTTTTATGAATTTTTATGATCTGGGGATTGAGAGAAAGAATCATAATAGTGTAATAAATTATACAGCAGTTTTTGGTGCTAATTGTTCGTCTGTTTGTTAATGACTTTAATTTGTAAATTCCGTCTATGTGATTAAAAAAAAATTAAGTGTGATTTTAATTTTTTTATCGTAGTGGATGGTTGTCAGTGCTTGTGGTGATTAATTTATACTGTCCTTCATGTATATTTTTCCCCTCTTGCCCAGTTGGGGGTCTGTGTGGAGTAGTTTGATTGGTTGATGAGGATTAAGCCACCCAAAAGGTGGCACGGGCATGAATAGCCCGTAAGTGGTGGGTCTTTGTAGCCATTACCAGTATCAAGAGTTGATACTGGAGATCTGTGGAGGTGCGACTGCACCCTGCGTGACGGGAGATGTCTTCCCCGTATATATATGGAACAGTTTTTCCCTGTTTCTCGTCTTCTAATGGCATGTCATTGGTATATCTTGTGTGTACTGGTATTGTCATGTTCATGTATATTGTTTCTAAGTCTTGTAGACTATTTAGGGTCTCGTCTGAATGGTGTTCAATATATTTGTTCAATTGTGTTCTTGTTCTCACTTGGGCTGGACGGTAGAGCGACGGTCTCGGTTCATGCAGGTCGGCGTTTAATCCCCCGACCGTCCAAGTGGTTGGGCACCATTCCTTCCCCCCGTCCCATCTCAAATCCTTATCCTGACCCCTTCCCAGCGCCATGTAGTAACGGCGGTTTATCCTCATCGGCTCCCAGTTCCCTTCTTTTTATCTTTACTTCTTGAAATGATCTGCATCACACGCCTCTCCTTCACGCCTTAGTGATGGCGTGTTCCTCTCCTCAGACTCTCTGCCTCTATAATGTTCCGCACTCAACTGTGTGTAGGCCTTCCAAACTATGCCTAACTGCGCCTACGGGGCTGTAGCTCTGGGGCCCCCGCCTTGTACCTCGTCATTTTACACTGTGTTCTGATGCTCTGTCTTGAAGTTGTGAATCCAGTGAGCCTCCTTTGGTGTGTGGGAGGGAGATGGGTAGTGAGGGGGTGAAGGGGGGGGGGCACAAGGGTAGGGGTAGATGTTGGGGGTGGGGGGGTGGTAGAGACAGAAGGGGGGATGTAGAGGCTGGAAGTGGGGCGCCATCTACCCCCTCCCCATCTGAGTCAGTGTCTCGAACTTGTAGTCAATAAATCCCTACACCCGTCCACTGTGACCTGCTTAGGCCCCCCCCCCAGGGGGGTCATGCCCCCCCCCTGCAGCGTGACCTCGGCCCGGTCTCAGCCTAAAGTGTGTGTCGTCATCCTAAATAATAAAAACAATAAAAGCTATGGTGTGAATCAGGTCATTAGTTATGGCTCTTGTTAGTGTGTTCTGCTAGTAGTGACTACAAGGGGGGGGGGAGTGCTCTGAGTGCTGCCTTCACAGCTGTGAGTGCCTGGCCCCCCACACCTGTGAGTGCCTGGGCCCCCACACCTGTGAGTGCCTGGCCCCCCACACCTGTGAGTGCCTGGGCCCCCACACCTGTGAGTGCCTGGCCCCCCACACCTGTGAGTGCCTGGCCCCCCACACCTGTGAGTGCCTGGCTCTCCACACCTGTGAGTGCCTGGCCCCCCACAGCTGTGAGTGCCTGGCCCCCCACAGCTGTGAGTGCCTGGCCCCCCCACAGCTATGAGTGCCTGGCCCCCCACAGCTGTACCATCAGTCACACGAGCGACAAACAAGGCATGGTAAAACATGGAGCTGGGAGCGGACAGCTTTGCATAGTATCCCGACACACAATGAATTGTTTAGTGTGCTGCGAATGGGTTATGGTGATTGATGGGGCCGCTAATGATGTGGCGTGTTGGTGCTGCTCCATCCTCTCTATGTAACCACCTTGTAGCTTCTCAAATACAGGAAATACAGAGACACCACGAAGCAGCTAAATTATTGGAACCGTTTCTAAACTCTTACAATGTTCTCTGGGAGTGAGAGGAGAGAGAGAGAGAGAGAGAGAGAGAGAGAGAGAGAGAGAGAGAGAGAGAGAGAGAGAGAGAGAGAGAGAGAGAGAGAGACGTATCACATTATATATACATGTGGATATAATGGAGGGCCAGGCTCCTGATTTACACAACAAAATTATATATTGGAGCGACTGGTATGATAGAAAATGGGAAAGAGAGCCAGTGGAGGTGCCAACGAACAACCAGAGAACACCTCATGAACACCTGAAGGCTGTTCAATATCCTGCAAACATTAACATTGCCGGAACAATACCGCATGTGTTAAAAAAAAAGATTATGTTCCTGCAAGAAATACTTCACTGGGCTGCAGTAGCCCCTGCAGATTGCTCCAAGCAACAGCCTGTTGGACCAAGTTACCATATGTCAAACCCGATCCCAGATCGGGTTGGTGTTCCATCCTGTAGAGTGTGTATGTCGCCCCACTTGTACCCAACCGCTTGTGTCTGCACGCTACAGGTTTAGCTCTTGGGTCCTGCCTTTGTTGTGACTTATGCGTGACCTTTATGCGTTGTCTCGTAAGTACTTGTGACAAGGACTTGACTTCTACTGCGTACGTAGTTGGTGCCTATCTACTCTCATAGTAAATTACTATGCTATTATATAGCTATCTACTATCTACTCACGTAGTTGGCTTCTACTATCTACTCGTACTATGTAGTACTGTAATTATGATAAAGAAGGGTTTTCACTATGGCCTACGTCTGTGTTTTCGTGTTCTATTGTTAACCATTGTAAATGTTTCCTCGTTTTCACTCTCAGTTCCTCTTAAGTATTTTGTATTCCTCTATCATGTCTCTCCTCTTTTCCAGCGCATTAACCAGCACATAGCCAGAATGTCACATGATTTTATAATACAAGTCCACCAACATTTCCTTTAGATGGAAAGTTAACTTCTTGATTAAACTAATTTTTGTGTCAAAATAGTTAATTAGCATCATGAGCCGTGACGTCACTAGAGGGGCGTGTCCTGGTGGCATAGAAGAGGCGAGATGTGATTGGTCGGTTAAAAGAAATAGGAAATATGATTGGCAGAGACGTAATAATGGAGGATGTCGTTTGACGAATGAGGAGAAAGAGCCGAATGCACCAATGAAACAAGAGAGCTGGGATGAGGGGGGGGGGAACAGGAGTGAGAGTGAGGATAGTGAGAGGAGAGTGAGAGTGAGGATAGTGAGAGGGGGGAGTGAGGCGCCATAAACCCATTCTGACCAGGGTAGGATTCTATAGGAGAAGGAGGAGGATTTGACGTAATATCCTACATCAATTTCCTCTACAACTCCCTCTTTGGCAGTAGAAAGTCCTTGGTATTTAGGTATTTAATCCTCGTCGTCCACTACTAACTCTACCCTCTCTCACTCTCTCCCCAGTACCCCTGGCTCTTGGCGCCTCACAACTCTCAGGTCTTCTGGCCACGCTTCTCTCTCATCATTCTGTCTCACGTCTCCCCAGGACTAAGTTCCGAGAGTCGCACTGTGGTGTAGTCCTTGTGGAGGAAGTTTATTTTGGGCAGGATGAGGGAGGGCCGTTGAGAGGCGGGTCCAAAGAGCCAAAGCACAACTAGATGAGTACACGTGTGTGTGTGTGTGTGTGTGTGTGTGTGTGTGTGTGTGTGTGTGTGTGTGTGTGTGTGTGTGTGTGTGTGTGTGTGTAATGGGGGGTACCGTTTAACTAAGGCATTCATACGAAAAGTGTTGGATTTAAAGGTGTAACATTAAAGTGGGACTTGGAAACGACTCCAAAGCTAGCACACAGGTCCACTAAGAACACACACAGAGTAGTTAATAAATGGAATGCACTAGGAAGTGATGTGGTGGAGGCTGACTCCATACACAGTTTCAAATGTAGATATGATAGAGCCCAATAGGCTCAGGAACCTGTACACCAGTTGATTGACAGTTGAGAGGCGGGACCAAAGAGCCAAAGCTCAACCCCCGCAAGCACAATTAGGTGAGTACACACACACACACACACACACACACACACACACACACACACACACACACACACACACACGAGGGGGAGGATGTTGTGCTCCTTATGACTTACTGTAGCAAGTCACTATTTGACATAGAAACCGAGGAAACATAGAAATTTTGACATAGAAACGTGAGGAAACTGGAAGCTGTTTACTATGACCCCTGGGAATGTGATATTAGCAGCAGCTGGTGACCATACTTGTAGTACCATGCTTGTTAGGTAGTATGTAGTTTAGGTGGAGACTAAACAGTGTTGTTAAGCTGTGTTTGTTATGCTCTCAGAATACTGGTTACCTTGAGGTGCTTCCGGGGCTTAACGTCCCCGCGGCCCGGTCGTCGACCAGGGCTCCTGGTGAACGCAGTTTTTGTCCTCTGTACTGTAATGGTATATTAGTCTGCCTAATGGAACGGTCCAACTTTTGGTCACACACATATTCTCAGCAATGGCTCCTTGGTTCAAAGTTTACTCGTTAGGAAACGCTTCGAATCCCATATGTATCAGTTTGAACATTGCCACAATGACGCATGTTGTATGTAATCTGATGTTAGAATGGCGGTAAACATACATTTTTCTTCTTTTCAGGAACGTGATGTTTGGTGTAAGTGATTCGTCAGCGGCTGCCAGTTGTGGGTGAGGCGTGATGCACCATCCAGGTCCCTAGGTCATCCACCAACGACCCACGTCACCCACTGAGGAGCCAAATCACCCACCAACGACCTAACATCACCCACCAAGGATGTAGTTGACCTAACAAGGTGCTAGGTCATCGACTAATCCCCCATGTCATCCACTGAGGCGCTATATCACCCACCAATGACCGTGCTCACCCACCAAGAGTCTAGGTCATCCAGCAAGAACTAGGTCAGCCACCAGGGGCCCCAACGCGGTCCACGCGCCACGAGCAGAGAGCGGCGATGACATAAAGGCCAGACCGGGCTTGTAGAGTCTTGAAAATGCTCTTGACAAATACAAGGAGGGAACAGAATAAACGAATATAGCCACTTGGGGTCCATTGGTGCCGGGGAGGGAGGCGGAGTGACGCCAGCGTCGCAACCCAACATCGTCCTTAAGTCCTCTCACCATTGAGATGAAGTTTGAGCCTGAGACTGTCGCAGTCTCCCGTTGTTAAGAACGCTTTCCTCCTGTGTCTTACGACCCTACAAGAGAAATTTGAGAGCAGTTGATGATGTATTCGGAAACGATGTTTCATGCTAACTACCCACATGGATCCCGGAGCTGAAAATGTGAATTTTGAGAGGAAAGCTATAAAAATAAACCTTGAAACAAGCGCGAGACAACCTCGCCTCTGTGTGCTAGTGTCATAAGGGTCAGGCTCCAAGGAACCAAATAACATGACGTAACGACGTGTTGCAAGACAATCTCGCACTTAGCTCCAATAACCACAAGGACTTAACTTGCAGGCGCAGGATACAATGACCTAGCCGCGAGCCAAGTTGGTCGCTCTGTGCTGTAGCCGTAAGGGTCAACTTGATGGCAGACGACGAAGAGGTGCAGCAAGCACACCCAGCCCTTGTGAACCACCTCCAGGGGAACGGTAAGATGAGGTAGCGAGCCCACGCCAGTCTCACGCCTGTGTGGAGGTGGTATAAGGCCTGAAACAAGGATGGTTGGGCCCCCGCCATGGGATGTGGACGGAGCACACTTGGCAGTGATAGTCCAAAGAAGAATAGAAAGAACGGTAAGTTTCTCTCTGTTTCTCTCTCTCTCTCTCTCTGTCTGTCTCTCTCTGTCTGTCTGTCTCTCTCTGTCTGTCTGTCTCTCTCTCTCTGTCTGTCTGTCTCTCTCTCTCTGTCTGTCTGTCTCTCTCTCTCTCTCTCTCTCTCTCTCTCTCTCTCTCTCTCTCTCTCTCTCTCTCTCTCTCTCTCTCTCTCTCTCTCTCTCTCTCTCTCCCCCTCACTCCTCTCCCACCCAATCACATCCTCTCCCATGGCAGTATCCCATGGGAAATTATCACACCAAATTTTTAGCTTTCCCAACCACTCATTTTTCACCCTTCCGAAAGATACGAAATTATGATTGTGTTATCCTCCCTACACCTATCCCCCACACCCCCTCAACACGTGTCTTCCCACACCTGTCTCACCCCCCCCCCCCCACACACCTGTGGCCCCAAGTCCCACCCACCCCCCTCCCTTCCTCGCTACCCACGAAGCTTCATGTTTGTGGGGAGAGGAAACTCACCTACCTAAGGGACTTCCTCTGGGCTAATTAGCCACAGGGACGAGTCACTGAACCCGCCGCCTGATCCGTCCTAGGAACAATATGTAATGCTAAACACATTGGGACAATGTGTATACTAATACACACCATCATGATGGCTGTAGTGCATTAGATATGTGGATGTGAAACACTCTGAAATAGAGATTATATTAGTATTATATGAATATTAATATTGATTGTAATAGAAGTATTTTCATTAATATTGTAAGAATGTATAATTATAATTTTGAGTTAGACGTGGTTTGTGGTAGGTTGTTAGGTTAGATTGTTATAATTAAGTATCCAAAGAAGGCACCAAGCCGGGAAGGCTATGTAGCACCATTAGGTTGTTAGAAGGTTAATTTGTTAGAAGGTTAGTTTGTTAGAAGGTTAGTTTGTTATAAAGTAGAACTAGAGACCTACACATACGCTGTAGCGGTGATGGTCAGCTTGAGACTAATAGTGCTATTGTGTTATTGACATATATAGGAGTGGTTAACGTGTCAGTGTTTTGATCAGTCACCTCTGACCAAAACTGAGTTCCATAGTTTTGTGGTATTTGGGTCGATACGCGAGGTTGTTACATGTGGTTGGGTTATGACTTCACGACAGAGGCTTGGAGAATATAAATTGACATTTTGAAGCTTCTTAAAAAGATTGCAGTAACTTCTGGAGTCAGTGGAAATATATATATGAGGAATATAATGTTCTTACATTAAGCTGCTGGTAGTTTCATCTGCAGAAAAGACTCCATCAACATGGAAAGATTGGAAAAGCATCTTGTTATCAACCTGAGATAATATGGACAATATTCTCACAGCGAGGAAACAATCCACTGAGCGGATAAGCACTCGGAAGGGATATAAGGACAGTGAAGAAACAGTGCCAAAGAAGGAACGTGAGGATGTTGTTGTTAAAGATTTGCCACTTGGAACAAAGTTCCAAGTAGCACGGGCTATGGTGAGCCCGTAGTGTCTAAACGTGAGGAACGGGAGCGTGGCACTCGCCCCCAAGTACCACTACAAGATGGCAGCAACCATTCTTCAGCCAGTGGTAACACTCTGGAATCTGCCCGTGAACGCTTTTAGGCGACACTGGAATGAATCTGGATTGTATATCTCCACAGAAGCGAGGAGAGAATTTATCCAGGAATGTGAGTTTATACCTTAGCTGCTCCCCATTCACTATTTGTCTTCCTAAAGAATTACGTCTTAAAGCCGGGCTCCAGTAGTTATCAGCGCATGTTGGAACCTATTGGTTCAAATTAGAACCAATAGCGCAAGTCTGAACCAGCGGCTCAGTCTAGAACCAGTGGCTCACGCTGGAACAAGTGGATACATTTAGAACCAATGGCTCAGGTTGGAACTATTGGTGTGTGTTCAGCAGCAATACATAACGCTGAGAGAGGGGGGGGGGCTCATGCACTCTCTCACACGCTAGAGGGGTGTCTGAGGGTGGTAACTCCTGAAAACTTTCCAGAGAGCTGACACGGTGGCCCTTGTCTGCCCCCCTCCTCCCCCCCAGCACGCTCTATCTCTACAGCCTGTATTATGCTTCCTCTGGCAGTGTCTGACGTTGAAGCCTCGAACCACAACAAGAAACGGTGTGTGTAATATACTGCCAGTCTCTCTCTCTCTCTCTCTCTCTCTCTCTGTTTCACCCCGTTTCCGTGTCTCGACTGGGAGCCGGTCGGCCGAGCGGACAGCACGCTGGACTTGTGATCCTGTGGTCCTGGGTTCGATCCCTGGCGCCGGCGAGAAACAATGGGCAGAGTTTTTTCACCCTATGCCCCTGTTACCTAGCAGTAAAATATGTACCTGGGTGTTAGTCAGCTGTCACGGGCTGCTTCCTGGGGGTGGAGGCCTGGTCGAGCACCGGGCCGCGGGGACACTAAAGCCCCGAAATCATCTCAAGATAACCTCCCTCTCCAACAGTTTCAGTATAGTAAACTGTGGTGGGTAAAGTCCGTAGATTTCGCGATAAAAGCCTAGTTACCCCGCCTCTTCTATCTTTCAGGACACCATGATACTTTTGTCACATAATGCTCATGGTTCCTATGCTGTTCATGTTTACAGTTTCCCTGTGGTTGATTTACAGTTATTGGCTATCACCAGGCCTCAGCCCTTCCTCACGTCCCACAGTACGTCCCATAGTTCCCGTCCCATCGCTGAGGACACCAGAATAGTGTGAGATAATGGACGAGGCAGTAGGACTCCCCCTGTTAAAAATGGAGGAAGCACCGTTCCATTCTTTGTCAACTAATGTGTTAAACCCGTGATTTAAACCGCTATTCTACAGTGTATTCTGTTAAAGGTTAGCACTTAGGAGAAGTCTTGGTGCTTCTCAGAAAATTATAAGCACTCTTATAAGTTATTACATATAATAATAATGATGCTTTCGCCAAACAACATTATATATTATAGTGTGTGCTTTGAAAACCTTAGAGAATGGGTTGTAGGAACGTCAATAGAAATCGATGTGACGCTGGAATGTCTGTGGGGTACACTACTGTAAAGAGGATGTATTTAGGGTCCACAACAAGTCACACGATGTTTATGAGGTTCACTACCACCCAAAATAATGGGTATGGGGTCCCCTTTCCACCTGTTGGATGGGTATAGGGTCCACTACCATCTGTTGGATGGGTATGGGGATCTACTACCTCTCACGAGATGGGTACGGGGTTCACTACCGCCCACTGGATGGGTATGGAGCTTACTTCCACCCACAGAATGTGTATGAGATCCACTACCATCCACAGGATTGGTATGGGGTCCTCTGCCGCACACCGGTGGGTGGTAGTGGACCCCATACCCACCCTACGGGTTTTAGTGGACACCATACCCATCCTGCAGGTGGTAGTGGACCCCCATACACATCGAGTGACTAGTTATGGACCCTAATTACCTTCAAACCCTACACTAATCAACGGTATTTAAGGATACCGTTGATCCCTTGTAAGAAAGCTGTCAGAAGTATCTGCCACTTAATTTTGGGTTTGCTTGGCCATTTAAAATTCATTATTAGATAAATAAGAGGCAGTAGGACAATGAAATGTAAGATATTTGTAGTTAAAACTATTCCTGTTGATGGCAAGTTACAGGTTTATCAAATGGGGGGGGGGAAGATTTATAAAAAAATATTCTTCAAAGCATCTACAAATTAGTTAAGTTCGTGAGTTTGATAGCCACACTTGACTGACAGGTCTGATTTTGTTCTCCAACTAAAGTACTTTCATACATTACATTGTATCCAAGTATGTAAAGGGCGCAACTATTAGAAACAAGAGATTTCACCCCATAGGGTTTAAATCATGGAACAGCCTACCCGCCGATGCTGTCGGCAAAATTTGTGCAAATCTGGAATAGAGGAAGTTTCCTAGACGGACAGGAAACCCGCGGAGAGGTGGCGACCATGTAGGTAATCCTGACTTTCATACATGAATATACTTGCCCCTTCTGGTGGATGGATTAGGACTGGTAATTATCAAAGGCACGGAACCCGTAAGAGAACTCGGCATTCTATTTGGCTATTCAAAAGAAATTATGACAATATAGGTACACAAGTTGAGCACTATCAAAGGCATCAGACTCGCCAACTGTCTTATCTCAGCCCCGGAAAAATATTTAGTTTCACGGGCAAACTTATTCTGAATAATGCTCGGGTGTCTGAATGGATAACAAGCTACAGCTGTTTGAAGATCACAAGATTGTCTGCATACATCGCCAACAGTCTGGAAATCTGGCCCAAGACACCCACAAGGAACAGACTAGTCTTTGAACAGAGGTGTGACTTGCAAGGAAAGGCTACGGGAATAAAGACACGTTCCTGAAAGACAGAAGAGGGAGTTTTCAAGGTGATCATGTCTAAAAATTGACAGTGGACAAAACTATTTAGCATGGATGGAACACTAACGAGGGAACAGGTGGAAACAGTGCCCAGGTGAAATTATCAGGGGGAAAGTGCAGAGCCATTAAGACTATATAGTACTTGGAAGGGATAAGGATTTGGGATTGGGCGGGGGAAGGAATGGAGCCCAACCACTTAGGACGGTCGGGGATTGAACGCCGACTTGCATGAAGCGAGACCGTCGCTCTATAGCGACGGTCCATGTGGCTAGCCCACGTGGTTGGGCGAGCCACATTAGATTTTTCAGTGCCGGTAGTTAAGATAGAATGGATTAGGCAATAATGTGGAGGAGACAGACTATATACCGTTTAAAATGTAGATAGGAATGCCCAACAGGCTCAAGAATCTTTACACCAGTCAATTGAGTTGAGGCAGGACCCCAAGAGCCGACGCTCAACATCCACAACTAAGCTAATACACAATCCTGGGGGTGATCTGGGTACCCACGGAATAGGTCCTGTGGAACACTCGCGCACCTTCATCTCTTTAGAACCACTAATATTTAACCAGTCCAGAAGAGTAAGTTACTCTAGTCTGGAACTAGATTCTAGTGTATGAACGCCTCCAAAC